TGCAGTGACTTGGAAAAGCAGGGTAGAATTATACTAACAAGTGAAGTCCCATCCTTACACAGAGATTGTAGTGACCTTACACAATCGTTCTGATCTGAAAGACAAATGTGATTACCGGTAGGTCTGGATGTAACCAGGCAGCGTTAAAAGGACAGAATTTTGTTGGCCTTCGTTGTTCTGAATTTCCCTTGAAATATACAATACTGGTAGCCTACTTCCACTTAGCCTGCCTCAAATAAAATTTCGCTGTGATGGCAGAACAGCTTCCATTAATTTTTTAAAAAACGTTGTTTCGCGAGTCAGTTTGGCCAAAATTCCATAGTGTCTTTTTTTTTTTTTACGTATTGCCGTGCAGAAAAATTGCAGCTGCTGGAAGATGTCTGCATACTATTCTGTATACTGTTATGTATACTGTACTGTATGTATACTGTACTTTTTCAATAAATGAATTCTGGCCTCCTTCCAATAATGGCCTTGACCAAGATGTACCTGAGTGAAATAAAGGCCACGTCCTATATTAGAGGATTTACGGTGTATATATATATATATATATATATATATATTATTTTGAATTACTTTTTTCTGGCAGTGCAACTGTTTACAGAAGAGAAAAAAAATAAGATTGTAAGTACAAATAAGATATAAGAATAAAATAAGATAAGAATAAAATAAAAATAAGAATAAAATATGGGTGAGATAAGGATGAAATGTGTGTACTACCTAAATAATAAGTAAAAGTTAAATATTTTATTAGCATTCGCATTAGCATTTCCAAAATGAATCACAAACTGCTTGAGAAGCTTTTCTACAATGATAACTGGATTAAAATAGATAATGTTTAATAAATGTATTTGTGTTTAATAACTCTTTATGCAGATAAACATACATTTTGAACCGTAGGCCTACTTAATAGGTCATGATGAACTGTTTACAGTCAGCTGCTTTGTTTCAGTCAGTCCAACCTCTATTGCTCCTTTTTCCAACCGTCACTCAGGCATCATTGTAATGTCCTGTGAGACAGCAAGGGCTGCTTGGTAATGTCAAAATGGGGAAAACATCACCATTTTATCTTAGTTCTGTGTTATAGAGGGTTGTTTATGTTGGTAGTCTGTTCATGCACAGCTATGAGAAGAACGTTTCACCAGGTGGCTATAAGGGAACAAGAAATTCTTTCTTGTATAGCATAGTCTTAAAGCATGGTGGTTAAACATTGGTTTTAGCTTGAGTTACTTGTTCGCAAACACGCTAGAATATCAATTACAGACAGTTCCATCTGATCCATATGCTGCCAATATAGCATAATTAGGCGGCTCTTATTGGCCGCTCAGGGAAATATAGAGAAAAAGCTGTAATGCTGAAGCATAATTTTACTTTAAAGTAAAATATAAACAAAATCAATCTTAGATTGAAAGTAATGTATGCAAAATTGATCAAATGTTCCATTTTGTAATTAGAAACTGATTTGTGTTTTATGGAGTAAAAGTGACTGAATACCTTTTTGATTTTTTTGATGATTGGACTGTCTAATAACTTTCTTTCTTATTAACCGCGACTAACTACTTTTCCTTGGGTACAATTATGATGTTACATTGCACATTGCCTGATCTTTAATTTCCAAATAAAGAAGAGGTAAACGGTGCTATAAATTAAGAGTTGCTGAAGATCAGAGATTGCAGAAGCACTGTTAAGAAGACCTGAGTGAAGTTGCCCCCCCCCCCACCTTCTTCAAATCCGACAAAATTAGTGTCAAACGTTTGTGCAGGAAAAATTTTTACTTTGTGCCGCTATCGTTTTAAAGATATAAAGAAATATTTCTAGAGGTCATCAAAGGTCAACCAGCCCCCCCCACCACCTTTTTCAAATCAGACGAAATGGGTGTCAATTAACTCAGCTCCGTTTGTGCAGCAAAAATTGTCATTTGTGCTGCTTTGGATTTGAAGATATTAATGAAAATGTAAAGGTCAAAAGGTCAACCAGCCCCCCCACCTTCTTCAAATTACAAAAAATTGGTGTCAAACATTTGTGCTCCGTTTGTGCTGCTTTGTGCAGCAAAAATGTTTGTTTGTGGCGCTTTCATTTTAAAGATATAAAGAGATGTTTCTAGAGGTCATCAAAGGTCAACCAGCCCCCCCACTTTCTTCAAATCTTCAAATCCAAAGCAGCACAAATGAAAATTTTTGCTGCACAAACGGAGCTGAGTTAATTGACACCCATTTCATCTGATTTGAAGAAGGTGGGGGGGGCTGGTTGACCTTTGATGACCTCTAGAAATATTTCTTTATATCTTTAAAAATTTTTGCTGCACAAAAGTAGCACAAACGTTTGACACTAATTTTGTCTGATTTGAAGAAGGTGGGGGGGCCAACTTCACTCAGGTGTTAAGAAGTGCTAATTAGCTCAGTTTCCCCCAAAATGTGTCTAAGTTTGGGAAAGAAACCCCTGGAATAATGCGCGAGTATGAGAAATTGCTTAGGAAACTTGCAGACTTACAGGAGCCATCAAGATATTTAGACAGGTATGGGGCATTACAGGCTAACAAAAGAGGCCAAACGACCCCCATTCCACAGGGGTGGACCCGTTCGTCCGTTTCAATTTGCATGTTTTCAAAACAAAAACAAGGCTTTGTTGGGCTACTGGATAAAACCTGGAACTCAACGCTATTTTTGACATTTTGAATTGAAAAAGCTTCCTGGATGAGAAGCGAAACATCATCAAACTTGGAAACAGTCCATTGGATTGTTTTTAACTTTTTCTGGAGCTCCCATTTTGGTCTAGCATGAAGCAAAGGGAAGGCTTGTTGAAGATGACCACACACTAATGGTTAAATATGGCATCCTGTAAACTCATTTTATCTTCCACTGATTTATTATACGCAAATTTAAGGTTAGTTACACTATATTGCCAAAAGTATTTGCTCACCCATCCAAATTATTGGAATCAGGTGTTCCAATCACTTCCATGGCCACAGGTGTATAAATTCAAGCACCTAGGCATGCAGACTGTTTTTACAAACATTTGTGAAAGAATGGGTCGCTCTCAGGAGCTCAGTGAATTCCAGCGTGGAACTGTGATAGGATGCCACCTGTGCAACAAATCCAGTCGTGAAATTTCCTCGCTCCTAAATATTCCACAGTCAACTGTCAGCTGTATTATAAGAAAATGGAAGTGTTTGGGAACGACAGCAACTCAGCCACGAAGTGGTAGGCCACGTAAACTGACGGAGCGGGGTCAGCGGATGCTGAAGCGCATAGTGCGAAGAGGTCGCCAACTTTCTGCAGAGTCAATCACTACAGACCTCCAAACTTCATGTGGCCTTCAGATTAGCTCAAGAACAGTGCGCAGAGAGCTTCATGGAATGGGTTTCCATGGTCGAGCAGCTGCATCCAAGCCATACATCACCAAGTGCAATGCAAAGCGTCGGATGCGGTGGTGTAAAGCACGCCGCCACTGGACTCTAGAGCAGTGGAGACGCGTTCTCTGGAGTGACGAATCGCGCTTCTCCATCTGGCAATCTGATGGACGGGTCTGGGTTTGGCGGTTGCCAGGAGAACGGTACTTGTCTGACTGCATTGTGCCAAGTGTAAAGTTTGGTGAAGGGGGGATTATGGTGTGGGGTTGTTTTTCAGGAGCTGGGCTTGGCCCCTTAGTTCCAAGGAAAGGAACTCTGAATGCTTCAGCATACCAAGACATTTTGGACAATTCCATGCTCCCAACTTTGTGGGAACAGTTTGGAGCTGGCCCCTTCCTCTTCCAACATGACTGTGCACCAGTGCACAAAGCAAGGTCCATAAAGACATGGATGACAGAGTCTGGTGTGGATGAACTTGACTGGCCTGCACAGAGTCCTGACCTCAACCCGATAGAACACCTTTGGGATGAATTAGAGCGGAGACTGAGAGCCAGGCCTTCTCGTCCAACATCAGTGTGCGACCTCACAAATGCGCTTCTGGAAGAATGGTCAAAAATTCCCATAAACACACTCCTAAACCTTGTGGACAGCCTTCCCAGAAGAGTTGAAGCTGTTCTAGCTGCAAAGGGTGGACCGACGTCATATTGAACCCTATGGATTAGGAACGGGATGTCACTTAAGCTCATATGTGAGTCAAGGCAGGTGAGCAAATACTTTTGGCAATATAGTGTATTTCTGTAAAATACAAGATTTTCCAACTGCAGTAAAAAGATTGCATCATTTCTACATTTCAATTAGGGATGCATGATATAATCGGCCCCCTATCGGTATCGGCCTTAAAACTGAATATCGGAAATCGGCCACCCCACAGATATTTAACCCGATATTTGATCAGCTTCTGAGTTTCTAAAGTCTAAAAAAAAAAAAAAAAAATACTACTTCTTCTTCTTCCTCAAAAACTTCTTTTTTACAGACTTAAAAACTTCTAAAGACGAGGGAAAAAATATTGATACATTAAAATATCCCAATATCTTCATATGCTGATATATTGCAATTTAAAAACACCATATCAATCTCTTTTACTAATGAAATATTGCTATATGTCATCGTTATGCTACGAAATCCCTCGAAAATTCACGAGATTTCGCCATATTTTTAATGTCGATATATTGACGCGGTATCAATCTATTTTACTAACAAAATCTCACAAGAATTTGCAAAATATCACGAGAGTTTGTAACAGAACGATGAAATTTCACGAGATTTTGAAAGTAAAATAGATCGATACCGCGTTTTAAAAAATCTATTTGATATCAGCATATGAAAATATATTTGACTATATTATTTTTCAAAGTGTCAGAAATGGATAACAAAACTGCTATTTTCAATGACTACTTATTTTTGTCCAGCTTTAACATCGGTATCGATATCGGTTATCGGCTACATGAGTTTTAAAATATCGGATATCGGCCAAAATTCCAATATCGTGCATCCCTAATTTCAATTTTGATTTAGATGTTTATCATCAAAATCTCACGAGGTAGAAAACCTCCTGATCTTACAGTCATTATATTTTTTTTCTTTTTTACAGATAATATGGAAACAGCCACTAAAAGCAGAACTAGTGAGGATATCCTCCGATCCTCCAGTCTGTCCACCTACTCTCCAGAGCCATACATGCAGTCTGAGTCGGACTATTACCCATACACCAGCTCCCCAAGAGGTAAAGAACGCGCTAACGTCAAATGGGGAAAACTGCTTCTTATGTGTCTGATTTACATATTTAATTATTAATCATCCTTTCCTGACTGTTGTTGCTTTGTGCTTCACTCTGAGCTCTATTTTCATACAAGGGAAATCTCTTTTATGCCATTTTTTTTCTTATCAGCCTATTGGGCACCAAGAAGACGCTTCTCGACTGGAGGAGATGAAGAGAGTTGGAGTCAGGGTCTTCAAAGAGTACGAGCTTCATTTTGGTTAAAATCTCCTTTAAAAAAAGATTACAGTGACAGTTCTCTAAAAAGTCTCTGTTTTGGCAAAATTCACCTTTGTTACCTTTGCAAAGTTAAAAATCTTCCTTTCCTCCCTACAGATTGGGAGTGGCATCGGACGGATGATCCTCAAGGAAGAGATGAAAGCCAGATCTGGTTCCTATGACAACGATCCCTGGGGGAGCGCCAGGAATTCTCGTTGCGGGAGCAAGGAAACACTGAACACGACAGGCTATGGCACAACGGCGTACAACAACACCATCAACGGCTGTAAGAAGTGATGAGATCCCCAAAATAACTTCTAATAACTACTAAGTCACAATCAGTAACAATCAGCTGCTGGTATAAAGATGCGCTTTTCATTCTCGGCATAAGAAACACAGCTGGAAGAGATGCTAAGATTACGAACTTTAGTTCTGGGTCACACGTCTTTTCCTACAGGCTGCGCTCATTGCAGAACGCTTTTAAATTCCTCCATATTGTACCAGTTTGTTGGTTTTCTAAGCCACAAGACTCAGACAGTTTCTACTGATTTTTCCATCCTTATTTGATAAATTGCCAAATTAATATTACAACAAAAAGTTTTTAAAAAAGTCCGTTCAGCAAAAAATAATCAATGGATCATTATTTATACCTAAAAGTAATACGTTCAGGGTGATTTAATGAATTTAGCGCTAATCAGTATAAAAATAAAATCAATGGGAACTACTAGACACATCTCCAATCAACAACAATTATTGAAGATTTCCAGAGGACTTCACCATTGAAATTCACCAGAGCTATAGTGAAACTGACAATGCCCACGTGCATGGCAGCTGGATGCTGGAATACATCGGGGAAAAGTGAAAAAAAAGAGTTATTCCACCTTTCTGATTCATGATCCGGAAGAATATACAAATACACATTTTTAATCTTTTCACATACAAATTAAGATTGCTAGGCATACGTTTTTTGACTGTTATCTTACTCCATACATTTATATAAAATATTAGGACAGATGTCGCGGACCCAACTTGATTTAAAATATTTATAAATCACTGGATGTTGACCAACTGCATTGTCTAATTTCACTTGCGCCGCTTCTCCTGTTAATACGGTGAAGCCCTGGGGAGCGTCCGGCTCCAGGCTGCACGTGATCCAAATGAGCCAATGAGCTGTCAGTCTGGGTTGCTGCTGCTGCTACTTTTAGACACAGCAGGCAAACCTGTGGCAAGCCGGGCGATGGGAAAGAAGGAGAAGACCATGAGAAAAAGAGAGCAGAGAAAGTGTGGACTGCTGGAAGAACTGCGGTGAACTGGTGAAAGAAAAGTGAAATGGCGTGCTCAAAGATGACCCTGCACATTTAGAGGATGTTTGGCTCAACCTGCTGCTGTGAAGCAGGATTCTCCACCATGAACAGAATCGAAAATAAATCTGGATCCAGGCTCAAAATGAGCTCCTTGATATGTGCTTGAGAATGGCTTAGTCTCCATTCAAACCCAGGTTTAAAGCCTTGCAGGGCAGCCTAAAGCCCACTACGAACTAGCCACGTGAGACCATCCTGATCTTTCAAGGTTTCACTCGCAGATCAGTCTGGAGACTCTCTGTTAAAGAAAATTTGGAGCCGTTCACCAAACGAACGTCCAATCAGCGTTGGCTTTGAGGCGGGTTGAGGTGTGACGCAACGAGAAGCGTGACAGTTTAGTCTAAAGAACATGGCGGCTTCAGCCGATGAAACTAGCGTTAGCGTGGCTATCGAGCAAGTTTTATCGGAATTACAGAGTATTTCTTCACTGAAAGAAGAGCAAAACACTGCTCTGGAGGCTTTTCTCAGAGGAAAATATGTTTTTGCTCTCCCGACTGGTTTCGGCAAGAGTAGCCTGGCTGTTAGTACGTCATATGCTTCGTTGATCTGATTGGTTTATTTGGCCCGTCTATCACCAACATAGGCCAATCAGCTAACCAGTATTTTCGCCCCTTCCCAAAATTACTTCAACCGAAGGTTTCCAGATGGATATGCGGAGGAAATCCATCTGGCGGAGTCCAGTTAACTGTGAACATTAAGACAAAAAAAAGAAAGAAAACGGTCAATTCAGGTGTTTTATTATAAAAAAGTCAGGAAATTGACTATAAACTAAACTGAATGATTGTTGTTCTCTACTTCAAAAAACACTTTAGATTTTAAAATGAAAAAAAGGTTTTATATATATATATATATATATATATATATATATATATATATATATATATATATATATATATATATATATTTATAAAACTTTTTTTATATATATATATATATATTTTTTTTTTTTTAAATAAAATTTCCAAGTATAACATGGATGCATGAAAAGCAGGTTTTTTATGCATCCATGTTGTTTTTTTTTTTGTTAAAATCTGTTTAAAGTAACAGATTATAATTAAAAATGTCTCCTGACCTTTTATTTATTCGGACCCCGCTGATTTTTAATTGGTTTCCCCTGTAATGGATTTTCAATATGAATATAGATATTCAGTTTTCGAAATTCTGATTCAATTAATTTCTTTTTAAATCGTCCTTTTTTTACTCTGCAGGCTGCTGCTTTTATTTTATTTTTGCTATTTTAGCTTCCTGCACCCTGACAAGCTTTTCTTCTACAAGACTAAAATACTTTGCAGCACAAATGTGCTCCCCATGGAATGTTCTTTCAAATCTTTGCATCTATTTTTGCATTTATTACAGTGTGTTGCGTTCACATCTGCCATCCGATGTCCTGTTTTATTTATGCGCACTAAGATCTCCCATTAAAGCTGTTTTCCATCTGGGAAGGAACAACTCCGAACAGAAGGCAGCTGGATTTGGTCTGGATTCAGTAGCAAGTTAAAAGATGCGACAATCCAAAGATGTTTGGCCATTTTTTAAAATTTTATTCACTGTACACTGGAAAGAATTGAAATCTAGATAAGTCATTTTTTCTTAAAATAGATGAATTTGTTCTTGGATTTTTGAGGGAAAAGAGACATTTTGCCAATGGAACAAGATAATTTACACTTAAAATAAGAAAGCACAATTACATCTTCTTATTTCAGTGCATATTATCTAATTATCTTATTTTAAGAGTAAAAATACTCATTCCATTTGCAAACTATCTAATTTACCTACTCAAATTAAGGGTAAAAACACTTAATTTAAGAAATTTTTACTTATTTCTAGATCGTTTCTCCCGTGTATGTGTGAGCGCCTAACGAGGTCCATTTAAGGATGTTTTCTGAGCCTATGACTAAGAGTTGATTTAGTTTTATAATCACTAAAATAAAATGTAATTTAGTGATTTCTCTGCCCCACAGCTCCAAGATCTCAGTACAGCACTGATAGCGGTGAGTTGATCTTATTTTGTCTTTGCAAAAACATTACTCTGACATATTTCTAGGTTCAAGCATTTAATTGATAGTTTTGTACAGTTTATTTATTTTGTAGCTGCTTGATTCATGTCGGCTCATAAATAATGTGTTTGTACTTTATGGGCCATGCCTCAGATCAAACATCTATCTTATAGTTTCTTTTGTTAGTGTTGACTGCCATCTGCTGATCATATTCAGTATTTTATTTATTCTAAAATAAGGCTTGTAATAAATGCAGCTCATTTAGATGATTCTGTAATCATTAGTATTTTTGTTTCTCCATTTTTCTAGACTTTGGCTGCAAGTCAGCCTCCCTTCCAGGATACGGGCGCAATGGTATTCAGCGGGTGAGACTGGAAAGCTGATTTCCATAATGTCTTTTCACCTATTTTTACATTAATGAGGCGTTTTTTTCATGGGAATTCCCAAAGGTAATTACTTTTTTTAATCACAATTTCTTTCCTTGCACCTGCAGCCTCAGAGCGCTGATTGCTACCAGTATCAGTATGACGCCGGCAGCGAGGTCAACTGGGGAAGCAGAGGTAATCTTAATTGGACTTTATAACATCAACCCTCGGGTTGGATCGAAGCAATTAACCCGATCCTTAAATCTTTTGTACTTTGCTGTTTCTTTTTTCTTCCAGCTGAATATAAGGTAAAGATTTTAAATTGTCTTCATTTCCTTTCATAAATACTTTTTTTTTTTTTTGTCTAAATGCCTGAAATATTTAACTGGCTCTTTTTCTGTAGATTTATCCGTATGAATCGCTCATCGTTACCACAAGGGGGCGGAATAAGCTTCCTAAAGACGTTGACCGAGCGAGGCTAGAGGTAAGTAGATCATGGAGGATAAAACTGAACAATCTGGCAAAAACTAAAGGTGAAAGTGAATATTTTAACTTTTATTTCCTGCCTTTTTTCACTCTCAGAGGTGTCAAGTAACAAAGTAAAACTACTTTATTACTTTATTTAAATAGAAATTTTGGTTATCTATATTTTTGTTGCGGTAATAATTTTTTAATTAACTTTTTACTTTAAGTTCTTACATTTTTTTTTTTTTTGCAATTATCTCTATATATCTCTACACTTTCTGATCCTCACATTTAAAAAATAGAATCCTTAGTTTTGTTTTAATTTTCATTATGGCCTGTTGGTATTTAAAAAAAAAAAAAAATAGTTTCATCCAGATAATTAATTTATTTGTAGTTGAACTCGGTGCTGCCCCAACTTGTTTTTCTCCACAATACAAAATAAATGTTTTTTTATGAAGTTAAATGCGACATTGTTACCATTAGTTATAAAACAAAGAAAGTTAAGTCTAAGGAAGTTATCATCCAGAAAGAATCTGTCAAACTCACCCATCAAAGTAAGGGGGTGGTTATCTAACACCTGATTGGTCACCCTGAACATTAAGACGAAGCAAATCGATTGCAGAGACTCGATTCGCGTTAACCCCGCCCCCTAACTTTGCCGATGTACTTTGCTAATGTAGCCAGCTTGCTAAATTTTCTTGGAATTAAATATTTAAAAAGATGAATTCATTTTGTTTCCTCTGTCGTCTCAGCGCCACCTTTCCCCAGAAGAGTTCGTCCAGGTGTTCGGCATGAGCGTGGAGGATTTCGACCGGCTGGCTCTGTGGAAGAGGAACGAGCTGAAGAAACAGGCTCGGCTGTTCTAGAAGCGCCCGAATGTTGAACGCCGCTGCAGAGAGAAACCCGACGCTGACTAGAGAACGGACCGTGAGGAGGAGAGATTGCTTCTCAGCTCCACTGCCACGTCTGAGAACCTGTTCTGGATCTCAACAGACGATCCCACACAGAGTGGATCTCTGGGATACTTTCAGAGACGGACTGAACATGAACATGTCTGTACCCTGTAGTGAAATGTAAGCAATAGAGACTGTCACGCTGTAGTGTTTTGGTTTTATAGTCGGGGCTGAGCTCCCCTGCAGCCGCAGAAGCCGCCTGTGGCCCGACTAAAACAAGCTGAGGAGGATTTGGCTTTGCCTTACTTGTTAAATGCTCTTTTAGTTATGAGTGTGCAGCACCAGCCATCTGAAGGAGTAGAATGTAGAAACAGTGTGTAGTTTCTCATTTGGACTGATTCCAGCATTCGCAGCATCGCCTCCCTTTGGTCCAGGGGGCATTTTCTTCATATGTTACTTCTTTTTCACATAGAACAGGGCCGCTTTATTTGACTGCGGGGTGCGAAACCTTTTAGCTGTTTCCGGGACCTGCTTTGATTTTCTGGGAAGCTGAAAAATGTGTGGCTGATTGGGAACTGAAGAATTAGCAGCTCAGGAGAATCAATGCAAACTTAATTTTTCAGAAACTTTTTCACTTTTAAAGGAAAAGTCCGGTCAGCAAGGAATGATCAATGGATCATTATTTAATTAATTTAGTGTTAATCAGTAAAAAAATAAATATATTTTTCTTATTTTATTACAGTGTTCTGTCTGGCAATGTGGCAGTAAGAATACTTGTCTTGATGCCAAAAAGAGCCCAACAGATTTTACTTTCGTAAGTGGAGCAGTGCGGCTATCGCCATAGTGTTCCGCTTGATTTCTGCATATAAATACCTTTATTATGATTCATGCTGGGAGTATTAAAGATTATATGGACGCTGCAATGTAAGTCGAACAGGAAAGGAAAACAGGAAAAAGGAGAAAGATGAAAGGGTGACAATTATAAAACAGAGAGATGAAAAGAGAACAGTACATAAAGTAACACCTTAATACCATCGCTGAAGTATAAGTAGTATTATTTAATCTGACATGTAAAAAATTATAATTTTTCATTGCGATTACTGAGTCTGGGAGCAATTTTGTCCAAATACAGTAACCCCTCCCTCCTGCCATCTTCCAGCAGTGACGTCACGGTGCGGTAAGCCTAGCGCCATTCTCCCCGCTTTCCAAGCTAAATCAATGGGAACTACTAGACACATCTGCAATCAACAACAATTATTGAAGATTTCCAGAGGACTTCACCATTGAAATTCACCAGAGCTATAGTGAAACTGACAATGCCCACGTGCATGGCAGCTGGATGTTGGAATACATCGGGTAAAAGTGAAAAAAAGAGTTATTCCACCTTTCTGATTCCTGATCCTCCACGGAAGGGTTGGTCGTTGGATCGCCAACTTGAAGAGGGAGGATTTGCCATCGAACTTCTGGCCAGAGAAAAAACCCGTAATATGTAGCCAACATTTGGAAGAAGAATGTTTTCAAGATGACTTGGATAATAGCGCGTTGTGACAAACACCAGATACAGCACTGGGACTTGATCAACAGCCGATACCGCACCGCGACGTCACTAACCAGTAGGTGGCAGTAGTGTTCTTTGACAAACATGGATGCCTCCAGTAAAGCACATTCACATGAAAATTACTCTGAATTCAATTTAGTTCAGTTTATTTCTATAGCACCAATTCACAACATGTCATCTCAAGGCACTTTACAGTTCACCAGATAAACCAGTCAAGTTTTCTATCGAAGGAAATCTTTGCATCGACTCATTGACTCCTCAGCATCCCTCACACTAAGCATGCTTGTAGCGACAGTGGAGAGGAAAAACTCCCTTTTAACAGGAAGAAACCTCCAGCAGGACCAGGCTCAGTGTGAGCGGCCATCTGCTGAGGCCCACTGGGGTTCAAGGAGAAAGAAGCAGACATAGAAAAAGAAGCATAGATACAAAAGGCAACTGTCAACCAGCTCCACAGGCGGCCCGTCCAGGAAACACACAGCCAGGCAGATGAGCTCCGAGCCAGCTCCCATGTCAGAGGATGAAGAGAGCACATCCAGTTAGTCACAGTCAGAGAAACAGGACTACACTGGAAAACAGGCCAAGCTCCAACATCTAGAAACAAAGGTGTTGATGGCAGCAGCACAGCTGATATTTCTCTCCAGGATGGAGTCACAGCCAAACAGGAACAGACCAGATGAAGCTACTATGAGAAAAAGCAGAGAGAGCAGAACGTTAGAGAATCAATTTAAAAACACTTATCATTTGTAGAATAGTATGTATTAATTTCCTATCTAAAGTACTTTCAGAAGTTTGAAATATGAATATGACCGGACTTTTCCTTTAAACCTTAAAATAAAACCAAGGGATGTAGGGACTTCCGGTTTGTAGCCACATGGAGTAGAAGCAGCTTAGACAGGCTCCAACAACTTTTCATCTTTTTATACTCTTTACTCATCATAATTTAACCAAAGAGTGACATAACAGCGATATTAAACTTTTTTACTCCACGATAGCGTAAAAATGGCTGGTAAGGGTTCCAAGGTGTCTAAAAAAGACGCTTTGACCAGTTCGTCGACGGAGGCCATTTCTGAGCTACTGGAGCAACACCGCGAGGCGCTGGCTGCCGAATTTAAGGCCTCTTTTCGCTCGCTTGAAACGAAGTTTGACCAAGTTCACAGCATTGTTCAGGACCACGGCCAAAGACTTTCATCCCTGGAGCTCGCTTCAGATGACCTCAGCCAACGGGTGCGTGAGCTGGAAAATACGGTCTCTAATCTCAGTGAAACCAACACCAAACTAACGGCTAAAGTCACTGACCTGGAAGGACGTAGTCGGCGGCAAAACTTGCGTATCCTCGGCCTGGCAGAATCCACCGAGAATGGTCGCCCCACCGAGTTCTTTTCCAGCCTGCTGCGTGAGGTTTTTGGCGGCGAAACGCTCACATCTCCACCAGAGATTGACAGAGCTCACCGCGTCCCAACAGCCAAACCGACGAGCGGTCAGCGACCACGGCCAGTCATAATCCGCTTACATCGCTACCAGGTGAAGGAACAGCTGATCCGTGAAGCCAGGCGAAGAGGGATGTTGGAATACCGCGGGCAACGAATTCGCGTGGTGGAGGATTACTGTCCCGAGGTTCTTGCTCAGCGAGCGGAATATAGAGCGGCGATGACGGAACTGTACAAGCGCGGCTTCAAACCATCTCTTCTGTATCCCGCACGGCTCCGCATTGTCCTCTCTTCCGGAGAAAAGAAGTGGCTTCGTTCGGCGGAGGAGGCGAACAGGTTTGTTGCCGGGCTGCCTCCCACAGCGGAGCCGACCAACTGAAAGGTGCGGCGGACTGATTACAACGGGCTTGACTCCACCAAACACTGGCTGTGCAGGTATGAGCGGGGAGCAGCCAGTCTTCGCTGCCAGTGAGACTGTTGTACCATTTATGGGCCCAGACAGTTTAAATGTCACTCATATAACTCTACTGTAGAGTACATAGAGTATATATTTTTCCTTCATTTATTTATTTTTTTTCTACTTTAATCAATGTTGGGAGCTGAAGTTTGGTGTTCAAACTGGAAGAGTTTTTTCTGTGTATGAGGGGGGATTTAAAGAGCTTGCTGCTAAGTTCTTTGGCAGCTGTCATGTTGTTGGGGTGGGGGGTGGGGGATTGTTCTGGTAATGCAGATGCCATTGGAGTAATATCTGTTAAACATGTCTGGGACCAGTTTTTCTATCATCTTTTGGATTATTTTATGTCCCTCATGACCTTAAGTCTCAACATTTATTTCTCAAGGAACCAAATCTGTCAACCATAGGTGATGCATAGTTCACTGAATTTTTTCAGCTGGAATGTTAAGGGTTTGAACCATCCCGTTAAAAGGAGGAAGGTATTTTCTTTCTTAAAACAAGAAAGGGCAGAGATTATCTTTTTACAAGAGACACACATCCGCGGCTCCGACTATCTACGTCTCATGTCTCGGTGGGCGGGGCACCACTTTCACTCCTCTTTCCGGGCTAAGGCCCGGGGGGTCTCAATTCTAATCAACCAAAATATACCATTTGAGCAGCATAATGTAATTTCTGATCCAAATGGGCGATTTATTATGGTTTCAGGAAAGTTGGGTGATGTCAAGGTTGTGCTTGCCAATGTGTACGCTCCTAACTGTGACGATGCTGGATTCTTCAAGAAGTTTTTCTCCTCTTTACCTGATCTTAGTTCATACTCTCTTATCCTTGGGGGGGATTTTAACTGTTGTTTAGATCCGTTACTGGACCGATCTTCCCCCAAGCCTGGCATATTAAGTAAATCAGCCTCCATGATTCAGTCATTCCTATCAGATTATGGAATCTCTGATGTGTGGCGTTGTTTTCATCCACAAAGGAGAGAATACTCATTCTTTTCCCATGTGCATCATAGCTACTCTAGAATAGATTATTTTTTTGTTCAAAATGAGCTTCTCTCATCAGTGCTTTCATGTTCATATGAACCAATTGTAATATCAGACCATTCTCCTGTTACACTGAAAATGGACTTCCTGAACCTTCCTCCTCATAGAAAACATTGGCGCTTCAATACAACCCTGTTATCAGACAACACTTTTAAACAATTTATACAAGAGCAGATAGCTTTCTTTTTTGAAACCAATATCTCTCCAGAAGTCTCTAGCTTAACAGTGTGGGATACTCTGAAAGCTTTTCTTAGAGGCCAAATTATTTCCTATAGTGCTAATATGAAAAGGACAGCCCGGAGAGAGCGACAAGATTTAGCATCTCAGATTAAACAAATTGATCAGCAGTACGCTCAGTCTGGTAATCCAGACCTTATCCAAAAACGAGTAGAACTACAAACTAAATTTGATCTACTTTCTACATATCCAATCGAACAACAACTTCTAAAAAACAAAAGCCAGTTTTATCTACAAGGGGACAAGCCTGGTAAGATGCTAGCTAATTGCTTAAGAGGATCCAGAGCAAAACAGCTGATCACACAGATTCAGATGTCTGATGGCAGCGTAACATCCAATCCTACTGAAATAAATGATACATTCAGAGAATATTACAGTAATCTTTATGCTTCTGAACTACAAAATGATTATACTCGTGTGGAAAACTTCTTGGATAATTTGGATCTCCCTGAGCTTTCGCCTGATGACAGAGAGAGACTTGATGGACCAATAACCAAGGAGGAGGTGGTGTTTGCTATCTCCTCTATGCAATCAGGAAAGTCCCCGGGACCTGACGGGTTCCCAGTCGAGTTCTTCAGGTCATTCTCTTCCTTGCTTATACCCCAGCTAAGTCTGGTTTTGTCTGACTCATTCAGGCAAAACAAACTCCCTGCATCCTTCGGAGAAGCAACTATTACATTAATTGCCAAAAAGGACAAAGACCCAACACATTGTTCTTCGTACAGACCAATTTCTTTGCTAAATGTAGACGTTAAAATTCTTGCAAAAATTATAGCTCATAGATTGGAGAATGTTCTGCCATCTGTCATATCCACCGATCAAAATGG